CATTCCATGAAGTTAGAACCTGCAGAAAATTGCAGGTCAGTGCTGCAGAAAAATGACCTTCGCGTTCGCGAAGGGTCAGTTGAGGAAATTGGAAATTTAGCCTTCGCGTTCGCGAGGCAGGATCCGCGTTCGCGGAGGGCTGGGCGTCTGTTCATCACGTTCGCGGGTGTGTAGTCATGTTCGCGTAGAAGAAGTGGGCAGCTGAGTTTCAAGGGAATTTAATTCACCGCGTTCGCGATAGGGGGAACGCGATCGCGCAGGTCTGTCTGAGTAAAGCATCGCATTCGCATTGGGTTGGTCGCGATCGCGAAAGAGGAAATCTTGGTCAAGTAATTTTTTGCTTCGCGAACGCGAGGCTTTGACCGCGTTCGCGAAGAAGGATCTAAAGGCCTGGGCAGATGGTTTTAAAAAGGCTACTCCGCGACCATTAAACCCTTTTACACCATTTTTGAACGGGAAAAGAGCATTGAGGCGATTTTGAAGAGAGGAAATCATTGTTCTTCATTGAGGTATGGGTTTTGGACCCTAAAACTCGATTATTTGTGATTAAGGAACAAAAGATTGGTGTTTAATTCATGAAAATCTGTAGAAAAAGGTAGAGTTAGGGCTTGAAATTATGAGACCTTCTAGGGATGATTTGAGGGGTCAAACGAACTCCGATTTTTGAGTTCTTTATATGTACGGACTCATGAAATGATGAAGAACATTTTGTTATAAAGTTTGTCCAGTTCCGGGATGCGGGCCCGGGGGTCGGGTTTTGACTGATTCCGGGTTTTGTGCTTAAAATCGATATTTTTCAATTGGAATTCATTCGTTTAGCATAATTTGATGATAAAAATCTGAACTTGGCTAGATTCGGAGCATCCGGAGGTCGATTCGTGCAGGCAAAGACATCGCGGGATAGAGTTTGGACCGGATCGAGGTGAGTAATGATTGTAAATGCTGTCCTCGGGGTATGAAATCCCGGAATTTCACAGCATTCGGCTATGTTGAGGTGAGACACACGCTAGATGACGTGCGTGGGGTCGTACACCGTTGGGGATTGTGACTTAGCCCATCCCGAATGATTACTTTACTACGTATTTGATAGTTAATTATTTAATATTATTATATTTTGGACTAAACGCCATATATGGGCTTCGTGCCAGCTGTTTGAACCCTTAGGGGATTTTAAATGATAGTTTCCTCACTGTTTGATTTCATACTGGTGCTCTGTCATGCTATATTTTCACTATTTTCAAAACTCGGCTATGTTACTCTGTTTTAAACACATTAAATTATATTTTTAAAGATATTTTGAGCTGAGCTTCATATTTTACTGTGGCCCAAGGGGCTTATGAGATTCTGACTGAGTAAGGCCAAGGGCCTGTGTTGTGAGGACACATTTGGGTCGGGCTGCACACCGCAACAGTGATACATTGATTATGATAATGAGGCCGAGGGCCTGAGATGGTACGCCACGAGGTGGCTTGAGATTTATATGAGGCTGAGAGCCTGTTTATGATGCCACGAGATGGCTTGATATTGCGCTTGGGCCGTAAGGGCCCCCCCCCCCGGAGTATGTACACCCCTAGTGAGCGCGGGTACCCATTGAGATATGAGATATGGCCCGATGGGCTGGTATTGTTCTGTGACATTGCCCGAGGGGCTGATTCTGTTGTTACTGTGCCCGAGGGGCAGTTATTGTGCGTTTACTTTTTAGTTGTTTTCCCTGTATATTGTTTAACTGTTTAAAGGATGTTAATGAGATTTCACTGCTTAATTATATTTACTGATTTGGCTATGCCACTTTTAGCTTAATGTTGTGCCTTATGTGGTTTGATATTACTTTGTCTTCATTTATTGTTATTACTCACTGAGTTGGAAGTACTTACTTTACTCCCTGCACCTTGTGTGCAGATTTAGGTATTTCTGAACCCGGTAGCGGGTATTGGTTGCTCAGAGGCAGAGTCATCGGAGTTTAGCAAGGTAGCTGCCCGACGTTCGCAGCACTGCTTTTCTCCCTCTCGATTTCATTAAACTATATTTAGTACATTTTTGACTCTAGTTGTATTCGGACCTTAGTAGATGCTCATGACTAGTGACACCCCGGTATCGGGTTGTGTTGGGTTTGTTTTTCCGCAAGTTATACTGTTAACTTCATATTTTTGAGACTTTATCAGGTTTACGACTTAATACTTATTATTTTATTGCTTAAGATTGGAATGGGAATGTGTCGCTGGCCTTGTCTTCACGAGAGGCGCCATTACGATCGGGTCCGGGTTTAGGGTCGTGACAATTAGTCTAATTATTGATACATTGGCTAATCAATCATTAATATTACTTAAAGATATCACTAATACGCATCTACTTTCTAATGAATCAGTAATAGTTTTTAAGACTATACTAATACATACTTAATTAGTATAATTATTAATGTATAGGCTAATGAATAACTAACGTTACTTCAGAATTCCACTAATATTACTTAGCGATACCACTAATAAACCTCCACTTACTTTAATTATCAAACTAAAGATAAACAATCACAAACATTTCTCACAAATATCATTATTACACTTCCATTTAGTGTATCATTATCAATGTTATCTGCTAATCAATCACTAACGTTACTTATATAAGGATACCACTAGTTCCCTAATTCTTAACGTTACTTAAGGATACCATTAATGCAGTTCTACTTACAGTAATTATCAATTTTATATATATATATATATATATATATATATATATATATATATATATAGAGAGAGAGAGAGAGAGAGAGGTAGTGTGATTACGAGTTTAGAATAAATCATCGGCCAATCCACTTATGCTTAGTGTAATTATCAATTTATATAAGCTAATTGTCACTAATACACTTCTACGTAATATAATTATCAATTACGGTCGAATCAAACCTAACATTACTTAAGGATACTACTAAAGGACTTATACTTAGTGTAATGTCAATCTATAATCTAATTACAACTAATACACTTACTAATTACTATAAGCGACAGAAAAAAGTCTGTCGGTAAACAACTATTTTTTAGTAGTGTGTATAGTATATATAGTATAGTATAGCATACATAGCATATATATATATATATATATATATATATATATATATATATATATATATATATATATATATATATATATATATATATAT